GTGTACAACGGTTATACATCACACGGAGGGCAAAAAGTGATGATGTATCGTGACGTATCTGTTCGCATAACAGTATCCGTGACGATGCGAAACCTCCTATTGACTATTTACCAAAACCTTTTCATTGTATCATTCATCACATGAAATAGATTTTCACCTTGTGTCTGACCCCAAAAGAAGACCTAGAGGTCTCACACATGTCCAGATTGAGTTTGCGATTGCATGATGGGATGTTGATGCTAGGCAACCCATTTTATGGCTGAATGAGCTGCAAAAGTATTTGGTCATACAGATACCAACTTCAGTATTGTAATAATATTATCCAACGTGAAATGTTATGGTTACAGTGGGACTCCATTAAGAAATTCCTGGTGAGGTCTTCCCAGAAGCCAGTAGTCTTGAATCGAGCCTCTTCTATGAACACGACCAATCCCTTTGGCTCCACTTTCTGCTATGGTGTGCATAACGTCATAATTGAGGTAATGTTAGGCATTGGTTGAGCACTGAAATATAATCACGGTCTGCTGTAATGTGCTATGTACATTAAAGACATCCAAGGAGGCCAGTGACGGCCAAGGGTAAGTGTGAGCGACAACCGTCTGCTGATCACTGGTCAATTTTCCCTGGTTATCTGTGTACAAACATGTTTTGGGTACCGGACAAAATCAACCACTGGTTGGCATGTATGCTCATCACTTGAAATTGCACCAAAGTGAAAAAAATTGTGCTGCGTTTTTTTACGGTGATCCTCCATCGTTGACGTAACAGACATTTGTTTTGTAGCTGGCAGTTCCCAACATTTTTCAACTAAAGAGTGTCTCTTCATGAGGAGGATGGAAGTGAATCCTTTTGTTTTGTGCAGCTGTTTGCTAGTCACACTTGTAATACACATACATGCACACAGTTTGATTGGCAGTTGTGGTGACTTTACACCTGTTTACTGATAGTCATTGTTGGGACTGAACACCTTGTAGGGGGAACACCAATGTTTCTATAGACCAATATAAAAGTTCCCAACAAGTGAGAGATGTAACCCACAAAAAATGCATGTACTTGGTCTGTAGTTACTGGGTACCAGTTATCGTGGAAACCTGAACTGTTGTGGAGACAAATGAAAGCCTGCTGTGCAGTGCTGGTCAAAATACAGCATGCAGATGCAGCTGTGGAATTTTCATGAGACAAAGATTCTTTGCAGAGTTCATGTGAAGTGCACAGACTGATTGTCTTGTTTTATTTTATATCTGAATCATTTACAGGTCATGCCAAATAACCATATAGCTTCACTGACCATCTGTGAGCCTCGCCAACCAATAGGAACACCCATAGACTCATGATTCCACATGGAGAACGTGTGTCACTCTTCAAAGGCTTTGAATTTTAATTTGTAATGAATTGATATCTCAGCTGTCCAGACAGCAAGCGAACATTTCAGTTAAAAAGGTGATCTTCAAGATTCCTTTCCATGTGCGTGATACCGGGCAAGACATTTAATCTCTGCTAATGTGAAAACATCCACTCGCCCAATGTTTCTTGGTGTATCATGTACGTTGCAAAAATACTGGAAATATTTTCTCCAGTACAAATCCAATTGAACTTAGGAAATATGTTCAAAACGTTTTCCGTTTTCAAACATTCACCACAGGTTGTCTTAAGTGCAAGATTTGAAGGGGCATTTATAAAATCCAATTTTTATGTCATTCACAAAGTATTTTGTTGATGGACATGTAGGCTTTTTGCACTTGCCTTCGGCACTGGGTACAGACCTGGATTTTAGTAATGATTTATAAACCCTACGTGCTGTGTAGAAGATGATGAGAAGGTATTTGTACATATCATGGGGCAACTTAAAAGTCTCTGTAGGATTTATGCTGTGCTGCTTTTTGTACAAGCAGTGAACAGAATGAGCAGCAACATGCAACATACTTGAAATGAAGGGGAAGTCATATGGCGTATCTGTCTCCTCAAAGCTACTTTGAGGAAGCCACTCACTAAACTATAACAGCTGTGGCTTCTTCTTGTATGCGTATGTTTCTCTTAGCCACGGTGGGTTGGGATGGTAATTTTCATTTGGCTTGGCCTACCACAGTCGTGACTTCATCATTACTGATGGTGCACTCGTAGCCTACCTCAACTCTCTCTCCCTCAGGCGTGCCCCTTTCCTCGCAACGCCCATGTGCACAAAGAAAAGCAAAGAATTTGTAATAAATCTGTCATATCTATCATATCTTCTTCCTGATATCAGCCTGGCAGTTCTAGTATGCAGATGTTGACTGCTTTGAATAGCATCGTGAAATCTTGAACATTCCATTTTCTTGTGGTCAAAGGAAGATGGAATGCTTCAGAGACCATTAAGGAAAGCTACTTTTTACTATACCAACAAGTGAAAGTCATCAGTATTTGAACATCTCATCCTTGATTTTTTCGCAGTTCAGGAGATCAAACCAAAAGAGCAATGCAAACTCACCTGTGTTTCCATTGGAAATTTATTCCCAAATTCAACAGCACTTTCCCCACCCAACCCTCAATGAAATATTTGTAGCCCAACTTTGTGATGCGTCATAAAAAAATGCTTCATGCTGAAGCACACTTTCATTCAGATTGACCTTTAGTTGCTAATAATAAAATACATGGGGTTGTTATGTGTTTAGTAGTTACATGTAGTCTGTTCTGGGTAAAAAGGGAAAAAGATGGATATGCTATGCTGTCGGCCAATCAGGAGACAGAATAGTGGGTGAGGTTTGATAATCGATGGATCTACATGATTGGTTGATAGCACTACCATCTGTCAATTACAGTGCCATCAGCCTGTCAGTCACCTTTTTCTAAAAATAAAAGTTGAACATTTCCTATATTAATTCTTGAATCAGCTGATGCAGGGCAGGATTGACTGATAGCGTAGAGCAATCAACCAGTATTGCACATCCATCAATTGTACCTAACTTTTCCATTTAAATTTGCTACATTTGGTACAAGTAACCATAAAGCTTTTGTCCAATGGCTAAAATGCTGTGCATTTGGGCCACTTCTATAGCAAATAATCTACTGTCATGTGCTTGTGTATAATGTAAAAGTGTGGAAGAATTGGGGATTTGAATGAGTCAGTTTTTACCTCTAGACTGAAAAGCAGGGTGTAAATGCATGTTTCAGTTACATGAAGTTATCAAACTTTATTGTAAAAACGATCGCAAATCTTTATAATGATGCATCATTTGTTGCACGTAACTTATTGGTTATTAGTTAATATATAATTTATTCTTGAATTACTTTGCCAGTTTGTAAGTGTTAAATAGAATCTGAAATTCACTGAATCTCAGTAGTTTGTTCTAGTTATTTCTGAGAATCTGGTATCATTTTTGTGTTGGAGACTTAGGCACCTTTGGTATTAATTTCATGTTCTTTTTAACATTATGCGTAGCTGATCACAGGTCCCTTCATAAGGCCAGTCACCAGAAATAGGGTGCGGAGTGACAGTGGAATGCTTTTTGTCACATTTCATTTGAACATCAATTGAGTTATAACTGATTGGAGATATTTTGTGATGAATTTGACTACGACACTGCTCTCTAGTCCCACTCCCACATCCCCCAACATTCTCCTAAAATCTACATTTAGTGAAATTCATTGCCCTGCTGCTGGCTGATTTGTGCTCACCTCTGGGCAAATACCCAAAGAGATGTTTGCATACAAGAATCAACAATCTTACCAACCGTTGATCATGATTCACATGCAGTATCTGACGTGGTCCTCTATATAATTCTGACCATTTGTACACCCAGTCATGCTTTGCTTTACCACACAAGAGGGCACGGTGTTTCACATTGTTCCTACAGTATAACACGATCCAATGGACTAAACACAAAGACTCCACTGAGGACAAGAGACTGACCAATGAGAACAGGAAAACACCTGCGTTCCCTTTGTGTTCTCTACAATCCAGTGGTGCAAATCTGTTCCAAAAAACCACAAGGGGGGTGATGTAACAGGCCCCCCCCCCATCAAAAGTGGGAGGATATGTATCTGCCATCCCCCCACCCCACCCCGGGGCATTTATGCCCCTGGTAGAATCAAAACGTGTACCAACATGCCTCCTGTTTCTTGTTCAGTAGTTGTGGAACATATATTTCACTTATTTTGTGGGAACCAAAACGTTGCTGGGATAGAGAAATATCCCCATAACTCAGTCCAAATTTGCCTAACTAAAGAAATTGACCCCTCAACCCTGGGAAGGCCTACATTGTACCCATCTCATTCAACTCGTATTCACATGTGCAATCTGCTGGTGTGCAGGAACAATATGAGTTCCACAAGAGGTATGGAGACTAAGTTTCCTAAAAGCAAAAGTCTCCCACAACTCAAGTCAAAAGTTTCCAAACAGAAGTTTATGTCCAGCACGATGCATAAGCTGTATACCCTAAGACTAATGTGCCTACTGCAACCCCCCCCCCCCCGGAAATCTGAGAAGAACTCCAAAGACTCTGTCAACACAAAAGAAGACAAAATAGAGGAGGGGTCTCCTTTGCCACATCTTGCACCAAATGTAGAAGTTAAGTCCATCGGGTTCGAGAGACAACAACGAATTTCACCCCAGAATTCCCCTTATTAATCAGTGTGCTTCCCTGCGAAGCCTGTACTATCTTTATTGCACTTGAAATCAGAGTGAGTGGTCAAAGTATCACAATGCGTTCATTTGAAACTACACAATTACAATCAGTCGCAGTCACTACAACAATGAGAAAGTCAAGATGTGGACAATTCCTGCTGGAGATGGTTAGCGGAAGTACTGTGTACACTGAAGATAATCAGTAGGGTTTTCCCTCACTTTTCGTCCCAGAGAATTGTTTGTTCCTGACATTTAACATTATTGCAATGAACGACTTGCACACTTGACACTTGTTTATACAAAAATAGTAATACTTGGATGGAGACTAATTTTATAAGATTTTTCTAGTTGAGGAATTTGTCACCTGCTGGCAGTTATGGGCATGAGGAATTGGAAATATCACAGGAAAGCAATTAAATAAGTTGCACGTTTGTTTAAGTGACAAGCTTTTTTCTGGAATCAATTAATGATACAAAGGGCTTTTAATTTTCCACTATTAGAGCAAATGGCTCCCATCAGAGGTCACGACAACATAAGGAATGGATGTTTGCATTTTTTTTTCTGACAAATATTTGTACAGATCTAAAGCAGGAATGTGTTTACCTGTGAACTAAGAAAAAAATATCTGAATTTCTTTCTTACAGAGGTGCAATTATTTCATCATAAACAAATGAATAATCACACATGTATCTACATTACCTGTGAAGATATACATGTATCTTGGTTGATGTCATGAGAAGTGGTATGACATTAAAGCTTCTTTTTGTTACGCAACAGCACAAAATGTATATGTATCATATATATATAAGCACAATTTACAACATAACTGCAAATATACAAAGCCATTCTAGAAAAAGTTTACAAAAAAAGAGGATGAATATACATGTACATTTATGTATCTCATCTCTATGTGACCACCTAGACCCTCTAGTGCTTGGTTGGACAAGGATCTTGGGCTCAGATACCCTAAAAGAGTGGGCATCATAAGCACACCTCAAGAACTGCACACTAATGACCACAGAATGACACCAATCACCTTTGCATGTATAAACTCAATGAAATCAAATAAAAATTCTTGCAAAATGTTGCTGTAGATAATTCTCACATTCACACACAAAAGCACTTTTTGAAACCACATTTTGGCTGACCATCCTTCTGCCAGGCATGTGAGACCATAGTGTGCAGGCTGACATATTCAACACCATTTTCAGTATGTGGGTGTTTCATTACAGCCCATCAAATAAGATCCTCAGTAACCTGTTTTACAATTGAAGAATGAAAGTATTAACCAGATGTAACTTAAAAAAAGATACTCCAGTGGTGCTCTGCTAAGTCTCTCAATGCACCAACAATTTCACCACTATGCACTTAATGGCATGCACCTTAATACAAAAAAATAGTATGCAAAAATCCCTTTGTGGCATACATCAAAAAATACTTCTGGTCTTAACGTAAGAGACATTTTATAGGTGTCGAGCAAGTCGCAGTTCTTATAGGCTTTCAGCAGAGCTCTGAGCTAAGGGTGCCATTTCTACAATACGCGTGCACAGTGTGATGTGTTTTGCTTGGAAAAGTAACTTGAGAAGATTTTCACCAAAAAGTCTGATGAATTCTGTGTAATTTGACCTGGATCTATCTTTAAAGAGCCACACCCTGCAGAAAACCCTACTAAGCAGAGAAGCAGTCGCGTCTGTCACAAGACCCACTACAGGTCTTGTTTACACACAGGTTGATTACACACAACAAAGGAGTACCTTTGTCACACATCAACTCAGCTTCTAGCTTAAATGGAGACTGGAAAACTTTCGGAAGGACTTGCTTGGGCTTGACTGGAAAACTTCCGGAAGGACTTGTGTGGGCTTGACTAGAAAATATTCAGATGGACTTGTGTGGGCTTGACTGGAAAACTTCCGGAAGGACTTGTGTGGGCTTGACTAGAAAATATTCAGATGGACTTGTGTGGGCTTGACTGGAAAACTTCCGGAAAGACTTGCATGGGCTTGACTGGAAAAATTCTGGAAGGACTTGTGTGGGATTGTAATGCACTTAGCAATAACACTACTGCTTTGCATGCTTACAATGCTGTTAAGAAGTCAGCGGTGAGAAAAACACTTCATTTAATGTTAAGCCAGAGACCATTTCTACTAAGCAATTTTTTTCTGCTTAATAAATAAAGAAGTGATAAGTAACTCTGCAAAAATGTCCCTAGACACATAAGGGGTTCAGCACAACACATCACACTGATTACTCTTTTGATACTTCTAAAGCAATTCACGATTTAAGAAAAGTAAAGTAAATTACACAGGAATACTGCTACTTTTGCACTGGCCTCCTAAATGTATTTTTAGTATTGATTTGTAAAACAGCTTTCTTTGCCACCAACAAAAGTTCGGATATGTCAATCATTTCAAATATAAGCATTGATGATAATACTGAGTATTACTTTACATTTGTAATACATGGAACAAATTACAATGATACAAAACCAACTTATTTCAATATTACAAGATTATCACTTGGAATATTAGTCAATTACCTTTTATAGAATCTCGTAAATATTTATCTTTTAGAATATTGATGTTTGAATGATCAAATTTTGCCTGATTGCATACATTAAATATTTGTGGCCAGATCTTACAAACTGAGTCAAAAGCTACCAGAGACATTTTGAGCGAACAGACTGCAGAAGAAAAGACATAATCAAACTTTTTATCCCTGCAATATCTTTAACTTGTCTGACTGGAGGTCTTACTTCAAAGGTCGAAATATAAAATACCCTTTTCTCCCCTTTTCATGCATACAAAATTAGATATGTCAATAGCATGTCTCTTGAAAGACTCATTCTATAGGATTAGGCCACATTTTAAAGTTGGTTAATATCACATTTCATTCACACAATTTCAAAATAGTACTGTCGCAGTGAAAATTATTTTTAGCAGGCACTGAAATGATGATAGCCTGTTAAACACTCATGCATGTTTGCTGAGACTGTATAAATTTGCTTATCATATATCCGAGTAAGCGTGTGGGGTGACACAAGGATACAATACTGTCAGGGAAGCACTGATGCTATGCAGGGTACCGCCTATGACGTACAACACAAAGCTATCACCGGTACCCAACACAAACAGACTGAATTATGTTTTACTGAAGCAACCATTTCAATTTTTCAAGAGAAATTGTATGTGAATTGCAAACAAGTTCATCCTGTAATCATACCTACAACAGACATTATTTGCAGAAACTCCAAAGATTTTGTAAGAAAATTTATTGGAGGCAATTTCTTTTTATTTCCTAGTGAAAGTACTGAATCTTAGCTACACAGAAACATTTCCCATCTGACATGGAAAAAACTTTAATTTCAATGTTTACTTGGTTTCCCCTGGATTATTCCTGCCTTCATGTAGAGGCCACACACACTTTTAGATCCGACTGTACCTCGCAACCAATGTTCCTAAGTCAACTTCACATTGTAAGAGTCACAGGGTGATTCTAGACACTAACCCTCCCACCCCCCCTAAAAAAAAGGAAGGAAAAAGGAGCATTTGGAATGGAACATTGCAAGCCCTGATGTGTACAAAAACCCTTGTCTGCATGCATATGCAGCGGGTGTTGTCAATGACAACCACTCCAGGCCAAGTACTTTAAATAGTTCCCAAACACAAAACTGTTGATAGTTCTTTTCTTGAGGGCAAAAGTCTTGTTCAAACTCTACATTCAGCTTGAGATGACCAATGGAATACGCTGACTTCTCAGGGGAAAAACACTGAGGTTAAGGTTCCCCCAAGTAAAACAGGAACTGGCCTGATGAGATCCTACAATGACTGCCGATTCAGCTCCGTAAGATCTGAGAGTTATTTTCATGGAGTGACAGAAAATCTTGCTCGAAGTAAATTCACAAAACTTGGCGAATAACCAGTATTTAAAGAAATTACATGTTTTTCACCTGAAACGAACACTTTTTTTGCCAAGAATCTACACTAGATTCAGGCATGATGCTATCAGACCTTCTGAATAGGCCAGCTATGGTATGAAATTAGAGTCAGTATAAACTAGATGTGCATCACTAATATAAGCTAGCTATGATATGAAATTTGAATCAGTGTGAACTAGATGCGCGCCAAGACTAGATGCGTGCCAAGACATCATGTGCATGTAATTTACAAAGTAGATCGCCAAATCTGGCACTACACATAAAATATTTGACTGGTTGCAGCATCCTCAATCATCAAACCCTGAAGTGCTTCTTTCTTCTTTTGGACAAAGGTGTATAATATAATGTATATGGACTAGCATAGATGAGCACTAGTGACCTTATTGCCAGTCCATATGTGGATACTATTTGGAGACTGCTTCAAAGGGGGGGAAAGATTGGCGTGTTACTGCGGCGGTTCTCACTTCTTCCGTGTGTGAAAGACATTGGCTACTTTGGTGCGCTGGGCTCCAATCTTGTTGAGCAGTGTGCGCTTGGTGTCTTCGCTCATGTGAGGCAGGGCGCTGTGGAACCCACTCGTTGCACTGTTGCTAGAGGTAACTGATGAGGACCTGCATAAATTTAAATTTGAGAACTGTTGGGAACCAATGCAAGTTTTGCTGGTTGCAGAAAAGTTATTGGAAATATTATGCTAATTGGCAAGTTTTTCTCTTCTCTCCATGTTTTCCTGTTAGTGAAGAGAACATAAGTATTTTATATTACTTTCTACTTCATGTTTCCTCATTCAAGACTCCTGCAGCATGGGAGAGCGTATCCTCCCTTGTCTTTCATACAAATAAACACTTAGGTACGAGCTAAACTTAGAGCATGGATACCCCTTAATCATGAAATGAATGGATATGTAAACTAGGTCAGTAATCTGCTACATCTGACTTGGACAACCCAGGCGACCCCGGCAAGCTCGGTGGTAGAGTGGTTAAGACGTCTGCACTAGTAAGCAGGAGAACGTGGGTTCGAGTCCCACCCGAGTAAGCTTGTGATTTTTTTTTTTGCAAGCTCTCTGACAAGAACAGAGCGTACAATGTTTATAAATATAAATGTTGGGAAAGGGCAAAACCTGCAATTAAAATCAACATCTCCACGACGCAAAGTACATCTTGAAAAAATATCTTTATGGTTGGTTTTGTAACAAAAATGGGCAAGTTATGTTTCCCAAAAAAGAAAAATCTTCATTCAAGAGAACTTTTTGATGCGATATTATTAGTCTTTATGAACAAAGCTTTCTGAATCCAGTAAAAAATATACTTTTGAGGACAATTCAGGGGAACTCAAATCCGCGACCTCATGCCCACCAACGCAGACATCCAAAAGAACCCACCTTTCTTTTCCACCAAGTTTGGCTTCAAACTCTTTGATCATGGATGCAACCACAACCTGCAACGAGATTGCATCAACACTTGTGTAAACATAGGTGGTAATTAAATAACTCATTTGGCAATTTACTGAGTTGCTATGCCATTTGACTTGTGTAAGGACGCTAACCCTCCAGGGTATTTTGGACGGAAACCCTGCCGAATGCAACACACCCATCTGCAAGGCCAAGTGACCTCAAAGTTGTAAGTTACTAACTACCACCAGATCCAAACGTTAAGTGGCATTGTTCAACTGGATAATCACTCGTTATCTTAACATCGGTGGTTTACTCTGCTGCTGCTGTCTGCCCAGTGCAGTACAGTCATTTGCAAAAGTTTAAGACCACCTTGAATTTGATTGGTATTTCTATCACTGGGCCTGCATTACACTGTCCCATTGAATGATTACTTAACATGATTTTACAGTGGTGCATAACATCTGTGGGTGCTATACCCATTTGAATGACATTGTTTGCAAAGGCAGGTCTTGTATGACATTTTGTCTGCAAGGAAGCATGGGTAAAAAGAAGCCAGTCTAAGCAATCAGAAATAAAGGAGGGAACACTGAATATTAGACTGTTAACATGTCAAATCATGGAAATGTAGTCAAAAATGTTCAACCAAGGTACCAAGGTTACACACTGAACATAAACATAAGTTGCCATGATTGATTGGTTTCAGTTTGGTTTTCCTTCAGGATAATGCATTTTCTTTGGGTGGTCCTAAACTTTTGCAAATGACTGACTTATACACACTTGCATATCTGACCCCTGCGCTGTGTCATACAAGGTCAGGGGTGGACGCTAATATGTGATTTTACCTCTCACAAAGGTCAATTTTACCAATGTATCTCGGGATGTTTTACTTCATTTTCATACACAGTGAAATACAAACCAATGATACAGGCAGACAGACTCATAAATATGTATAACATGCTTCAAGATGAAAGACCTCAAGTTCAAGAGTGGTAAACAGTGTGTGCTGATGTTGCAATGCTTTTGCTATGACCAAGGCATTTCAGTATATCAAAGTTGCCACTTTGTGGAAACAGAAATGAAAACACAAATAGAAATACCTCGTGTTCTGGAGAAACTGTGTCAAGATCCTGACGTAGGCACCGTAAGCCCGGCAACATGGACTCCCAGATGAGATCATTGGAGATGACTATGAGGTCAAGGGTCAATGTTTCTGGTCCATAAAATATTTTAATGAGGTAGTCTGACAGCATCATGATCTGTCTGAAATGTGGCAGTTTCTTTTTGGGGGGTATGATTTCATTCCCTTACTAGAGACAGTTTTGGCTCAAGAAGATTAAGAATGAATTGAATTTTAGAGGAGGCGTCATTTATTTCAGTATCACCTGATTTAATTCAATCTTATTTTCGGCTTGACAACTGGTGCAATACAAAGGATACAGCAACAGGACAGCGCGCTGTAGGCATTGAACAGTGACATGGCTATGACAGATCGCCTCGTCTCATTGGCTGTGTTGTTATTGGTGTAGGCTATGGCGGCCAATCGTGGAAGGACAACTTAAGTGGAGCAAGAAAACACAGACATCATCCAATGTTAACTTGAATGCTTATAACGAATGACAAGAAATCTGAGACATTAACCCTAACCATTCTGAATGCAACGAGCATACGCATGATTTCAATGGTCCCTAGGCAGTTAGGGTTAAGCAACAGAAAGAAATCATGTAAAGCGATGAAAAGAGGCAAACTTTTAAAAAAGAGTTACAACAGGAAACCAGTGTTACACTTCATCATAGAATTGCTGAAACGAACATCAACAATGTCAACAAAACAACACACATTGAGTGGAACTCTACTAAACACACTTGACTTTTCTGAGCATAACAACATTCATGCCACACAATCAATCAGTCTTACATTCATCCCTGAATTTGGGTTCTGCATTGGGTCCGACCTTGCCGAAGGTGAGAATGACCTCTGCCAGCAAACCGTACTCTTCCTTGTACAAGGGATCATCCAGGAAGGTTTGGAATTGAGAGTACACTCTATCCAGAGTCTAAGGAAGGGGGAAAAAACATAATACTCAATTGATTTCTAGTTACTCTGTAGAAGGAAACTGTTCACAAGCAAGTGTTGTGAACTTCAGTCTTCACTTGAGTGACTTCTTAACTTCTAAAACTGATTAGGATCTTAAAACTTTTATATTGTCACATTTGAGAAGTTCTTCATTAATGATCTAACAGTACTTAATGACTAGATTTGACTGACTGTTTAAGAAACGGTTGCTCACAAAATGAGGGGGTTATCTGATATGGAGCCTGGATTATTACATTATGAAGGGAGCGAACATTTTTATGACAAGATAATTCAAAGATCATCAAATTAACCATTTTAAAAACAAAGATTCTTACCTCCTTCTGAGTTGTACTTTCCAGAATGGTTCCAAACACTGGAATGGTGGATATCTTCACATTCCTGGGAGAAATATATGAACAAAAGTAGGAATTCCAAAAACCAACAAGTATCCAACAACATAATTTAGTCAGTTCCACCTCAGGTAAGTCAATGGTCCTCTCTATTCTGGTTTCTATTCCTGTGCTTCAACAGAGCAACATGAAGAGTTTCTAAAACTTACATATCTTGGTCTCCTGACAATGTGATGAGTGCTGGAACCACCCTACCGGATACCAGTGACTCATTGATACCCTTGACTAGTGCGCCAAACAGCTTGGCTGTGGCTGAGCGGACAGAGGGAGACTTGTGGACGACACAGCTCCACAGAGTAGCTAGGAGCAACTCGTGGTATGTCGGGTGGGTACTACCAACAAAAAAAATCATCCAATTTTTTCATTATCAAAAGAAAACTGATAGCCTACTTGAACAACAGACACACATTTGATTGCTTCTAAACCTTAAAAAAGCCATTTTTTAGAAACTTTCTTTAAGCAAGGGAGGAGAGATAACCATACACTTTCTTGTTAACCTTAAAACCTCCCTGATATATTTTTACTGAAAATCTCCTGAATCAAACAAAATCCAAACAAATGGACAGGAACCCACTGGAAGGGTCCTTGTATTGAACCCTGGGCATCAATCCCAATTTGCAGCATCACTCCATTGAACATGTCCACAGTCCTACAAAAAACACGTCCATAGTCCTACAAAAAAATCCTCCGAAACATTGTGGTGGACTCTGAAGGGTTTGGGATGGATGGGGCTACAGTTAAAGTTATGCAAGATTGCATGTTCACAAGAAATGAGTGAACTGGACAGTACTGTACTTAAGTACTTGGAAACTATTTTTACCAGTACTCGTCAGCATTGTCAAAAAATGCTTTCCTCTAAAAACAGTGGGACGTCTTTATTATGTTCATGCATAAAGGCTTGTGGCTCACATTGAGAATGGGGTACTAGTGACTTCTTATAAGACTTATGAGTACTCATGAAGCAATTTTGAGTACTTTTGAAGACTTTGAGTACGAGTACATGTGAAGTACTTTTGAAGCACTCAACTACAACACTGGAGACGGATTTAGAATGCACACATGTGACTTGTCAAAAACTAGGTATTCAGTTCTAGCTATCCCCTGGGAAGGCAACTCACTGTAACTCCAAGAAGGTGACCCTGATACTGTCTAGTGGGGCGCCGTTAAGAGCCAGGGTGGTCAGGGATTCCTGGAGGTACTGGGATAGCTGCTTGCGGTCCTCCTCACGATTGTAGCTGGCCAACACCCCGGCGGCGTAGACCGGCAAGGTGGACCTGGTCAGGGGCATCTGGACCAGGGTCTCGGAGTCTGTGCGATGGGAAGAAGTGATTGAATACTGGAAGCGAACGGGCTACGAGGATGATCAGAGCCTCAACCACAAAAAATAGGATTCCATGAAGGGTGAGAGCAACTTGGTACCACTTATGACATTTGTGAGAGTGCAAGTGATTGGACACATTCAATTAACCTAAGCACCATTCATTTACATGGTTGGACTCTGTAAAGCACAAATAACCCAGATTTTGAGAATAAACAACGCAGCTCTTTTCCTTTTTCTGCTATGTGCAATTTGTACACTTCAAATCGGTAAAATGCATTTGGTAGTATTTTAAAGTTCACTTTTCAAAATTTTTAAAAACAATTTACATGACATGGCTGAAATATACAAAATTATCAACACTAGGAGAGTTTCCAAGAGTAACCATGAATGAAATCAGTCACTCTACATGTTTTAGAGATTTACAATAATTTGCTAACCAGATGTGGAAGTCTGCAGTCTTTATTTGTAGCCTTTTAATTTTTTTTTCAAGATGACAAACACGGAAATGGAAACTCACCTAACTGGTCCTCTGGAACATTCAACACTGCTTGGAACTTGGGTTTTATCTGCCACAGGGAAAAGTAACGGACGTCAAGTGAGTGTGAATTACCTTCAGGGCCATCGCAAATATGAATAGGATGAGGATTCAGGATAAAGAGGGCCTCACCTTTGAGTCTGTGAATGTCTTGCCAAACGTCCTGCAAATGTGCAGGAAGAGCTTGGCCATGGACTTGACACTGTCTCTGTGTACTGCCTCCAGACGTCCAAGGACCTCTAGTAACCTGGGGATACTGTTGGTGAGGTACAAAAATTATGATAGTTCTCCATTAGAGGGACAGTCTTCAATTAGGAGCAGTTTTGCCAAGTCTTGAAGTTCCTTGATGTAATGCCTGCTGAGCTTGAAGACAAGTACAGATTTCCCTCCAAAAATGGTTTTTAAGACGTAAAGATTTAGCTTTCGAGCAAAACACACGTGACCAACACAAATAAACTAATACTGCAATGTATCAAGTCCATGTGTGTTGTACAAATTTCTGTTCAGCCAGGACCATGATGCTCATAGCTTTGATTAAATTCAAGACCTTCGGATGAGGGAAAATATTACAAACAATTCAAGACAGAGGTTTAACAAATCAATTAAAGACTGCTATGATGTGGGACGTGATCTTTTCACGCCCTCAGGGACTCTGGCACCAGGTGTTAACCACTCCCTGCTGGGCGACCTGTTTTCGAGTACATAGGCTTTATATGCAGAGCACGGGAGACAGGAACTGGGACAAAAGAGTTGGGCCTTATAACAAAAGACCATGCTCAGCACAAAAGACTGAGCTACTGGGCATTACTGATATTTTTTTCGCTCTCAATAGTGGAGATAATCCAGCCTTATTTTGAAACAGTATACCACGATTTGAGGCATTTAGAGCGAGCGGATTACCACCAGGGACAAAAGCTCTCCACCACCGCAGCGATGAGCCACACAGCACCGCCCCACGCTAATCTGGCCCCATTGAAAAAAGGTCAGCAGCACACTGTGCCGGTTTCGGGAAAAAAAAAGAATCTTACAGAACACCGCACAATCTGGGCTCTTTTTCCAAGGCTACAGAAATATGAAATATTCAAAAGTCAATGAAGCTTAACTGTCAGATTTAGAATAGTGCCCAAAGAGTCCTTCATGTAGGTATAAACGGCCATTAAATGAAATGATGAATTTTTGAAGAATTTTGAAAAACGGAAAATCTTGAAAAGGACCCGGCATCTTGTCTTGCTCAAGAAAAATCCACCCAGCAGCAAGTGGTTACACAACTTAAACACACAAGATTGTTTTCACCTGTATTTTCAATAAGCCATGACAAAACTAAAATGACAACCAAATAACGGACAGCTTTGTAAATACATTCCGTGAGGTGGATTTTCTTATCAGCTTACAATTCATTCAGGGACCATGTGTAGCTAGTCCAGTCTTCTTTCACTGGGGCTGACTGGCAGAGGTAGGTTTCAAAGCGCTGCACTAAGGTAGCCAATTTCTCCTTGCCCCCAACGATGATGACTATATCATGAAGAGG